TATATATATATATATATATATATATTAAACTTCACAGACCAGATGCAGCAAAACACCTAACTGTGCAGGCAGTTTTTGAACAAATACTGAGATTCCACCAAAGCAGATGGTTTTTAAACATGTACTTTGCAGACCTCTGGGGTGTAATGTTCAGCCAGTAAAGAATGAGATGAAAAACCCAGATTTCCAGTTTTAGTACCGTCATAAAAATGAGCGCAAATATTTTTACACACAAAATGTGAACATTGTGACCAGTTTGTGCCTTTTCTGCCCCATCATGTGCTTCTTCTGGACTTCTGAGGTCCTAAGAGTGACCTTAGCCCTGCCATACTGCAAGAGGCTCTTCAGTTTGCTGCAGCAGAGTTAAGGTTTTAAATTCACATATTTGATATGGCACATATTTGATATGCCTACAGGTACTGTGGAATGTAGAACTCTGAGGCAAAACATTGGAGGGACTAAATCCAGATGTTGCAGACTTACTGGTGGAAAGTGGTCATTCTCTCCTAACACATGCTTAAACTGATGAACTTCTTGAAAATGGGAGGAATTCTCAAGCATTTTTGATTTGAAGGATAGGTTAAATATGAAAGGAGCTTTCGCTTTCCTCCCAGTATTAAGAGTAGCCAGTGCTCACAGACTACATAAGATGTTGCCTGAATTCATTTAATTCATGTTGTTTTGGTGTGCTCAAGACACAGTGTCATTATAGTTGTGAGGTGGCTTTTGGTTTGTTTTTTGTTTTTCATTTGCTCTCTTCTTTTTGTTATTCTATGAAACCTGCCATGCAGCTGAAATTGGCTATTATTGCTGTATTTTTAGGGTTTTTTTCTGTTCTCCATTTCCCAGCAGCATTAAAAAAGTTGGAAATGTGCTGATCTTTGCACTATAGGCTGGGGGCAGAGTGGCTGAACACGGACCAGGTGTGCCCAGGGGGCCAAGGAGGCCAAAGGCACCTGGTCTGTGTCACCAATGGTGTGGCCAACAAGACCAGGACAGTGACCATCCCCCTGTGCTGGGCACAGGTGAGGCCACACCAGTGGTGACACTTGCTGGGTCCAGTTCTGGACCCTGTAATTCAGGAAGGACATTGAGGGGCTGGAGCATTTCCAGAGAAGGGGAACTGAGCTGGGAAGGGCCTGGAGCACAAATGCTGTGAGGAGAGGATGAGGGTTTAGCCTGGAATAAAGGAGCTCAGTGGGCACCTACTCTCTACAACTCCCTCAAAGGAGGGTGTAGCAAAATGAGGGTTGATCTCTTCCACCAGGCAACAAGCAATAGGATGAGAGGACGTGGTTTTAAGCTGCACCAGGGCAGGGACATTGGGAAGAATTTGTATTCACAGAAAGGGTGATGACACAAAGGAATGGGCAGTCCAGGGAGGTGGAGGAGTCACTCTCCTTGTAGATATTTAAGACTGGACGTGGCACTTTGTGTCATGTTATAGTTGACATGGTGGTGATGGGTTAGACTCGATGATCTCAGATGTTTTTTCCAGCCTAGCTGATTCTGTGATCTAGGGGAAGACATGTGGACAGACACGCTGTCCCGGCCCGCTCGGTGCCCTGGCTGAGGTAGGGCCGGCGCAGCAGCTCCGGGCTCACGGACCAAGCGGGGACCCCTCACCGGACCGGGCACCACCGGCGATTCCCGGAGGGCAGCGGGCAGCAGGAGCCCCTCGGGAGGGACAACACCCGGCACAGGCCACGGGGGAGACCCCGCAGGTCCCACACGCCCGAGCGCCTTCCCGGGAGGCGAGGCGGAGCCGGCAGCGGGAGGAGGAGACTCGGCCGGGTGCCGCTCGGAGAATTGTCCCCGTCCCATTCCTCCTCTGCCTGCTGCTGCTGCTGCTGTCCCTTCGCAGCGCCGGGCCGGGCGGGGCCGCCGTGTGGAGCATGGGGAGCTGCTGGCTGCTCCTCGCCGCGCTGCTCGCCCTGGGCGCCCGGGCCAGCCTGGAGTACGAGGGTGAGGAAGGGGCGGCGGGGCCGGGGAGCGGGGCCGGGCCGGGGGCCGCTGCACTGAGTTCTAGCATAGAAATGACAGCACCGGGCTCTGCTTTCCCCACGAGTCATGTTCACCGCTGTTTTCCCTGCCAGAACTTTGCAGTGTCATAAGGCCATGCTTTCTCAGAATCTTCCTTCAAGGTCCTTATCAAGAATCCATTAGTTTAGCAGCATAAAAAATACACTAAGGTAGACAGAGTGACTTTCTTCAGACAGACGCACTTTCTTCAAGTGCTCTTTGGGGTAAGGTCAGTTTACAGAAGCAGAAGATATGGGCTCATACCCCAAAAATGATTGTTGTAAAATGGCTTTCCAAAATGTCTCTTTTTAATACTAAGCCATGTCTCTAAGAGCCACATCTTGGTATCTTCTAAATACCTGCAGGGATGCTGACTCAACCACTTCCCTGGGCAGCCTGTTCCAATGCTCTTGACAACCCCTTCAGTGAAGAAAATTTTACTAATAGCTGTTTTAAACTACCCCTGGCCCAGCCTGAGCCTCTTTCCTCTCTCTCATCCTGTTGGTTATTACCTGGAAGAAGAGACATGCCTCACTTGGCTACAGCATCTTTTCAGGGAGTAAGAGAGAGCGATGAGCCTCCTTTTCTCCAGGACTAACCCAGCTCCCTCAGCAATTCCTTATAGGATTTGTGTTCCAGAACTTGACCTGTTTCAGGGCAGTAAACTGAAAAGTTTCGGGTCGGTTTAATGTGTTATGCTGTTGTCTATAGCTTACTTTAAATTAAATTCAAAAGAGGTAAATCTTACGTCAGTCCTGGGAAAGCAAGTGTGCATAGCTCTTCTGCCTCTTTTGTGTCACATTCCTTCTTTTTGTCATACAAAGGATTTATAGCACAATAGTATGTGAAGTGTTGTTCATGTGTATGCAGTGCCTGGCTTGGCACTATGTTCTTGTGCCCTGATCTTGATGTCAGACCTGTACAGGTGAACCTTTGCAATAGGGACAGAACTTTATTTTGTGAATGAAGAAATATTTTTTTTTCCAGACATACACAGAATTATGTAAATCCATAGATTAATCTTAAAATTAAAGTGTTATTTCATGCATTTCGCTTGACATCTGCCAGAACAAAGTCCACACCTGTTTTTGGCAGGAACCTACGTCGGATTTCAACACAACAATGCTTTGTCCTTACATGACTTGACTTTGAATGTGTGTGAAGCAGAAACAGTTTGATTTGTGGCTGAGAAAATGGAGATGAAGTGGCGACCTCTCCTGTGGCTCCCCAAGCCAAGCCTGTTGTGGTTATTAAGAAAACACTGATTGTTAGGGAAGAGACCTGACTCACTTCTCATTTTGAGGTAGAAAATGACCTGGAAATGGGAGATGTCGAGCTCCATCAAGAGCCTTGTTTCAGAGCAAAAGTAATGAATAAACTCTTTACGGCCAGTTTTTCTTAGAAAACTTTCAAAAGTACTTAGTTGTTTCTTGTCTAAGGGAAGGCATTTGCTTAAGAGCTCACATAATTCTACAATTCACCAATTTTAAACGCTAAAGTCACTTCACACTAAAATTTGGACAATTATTAGTGAAAACACTAAGGTAACAGCTTTATAACCCACAAAGAGAGTAATTAGCTAAGAAAATTCCGATTTCTGGCAGAAAAATTGATGCTTAGAGAGGTATTCATTTACATATCAAGGTCTTCCTGAAGCCTTCAGGATCACAGCTTGCTCTTTTTGCTATGCAATCAGATTTCAAGTGCAAAAAAGTTTGGTTTTATGTTCAGAAGTCTCTCAAATGTCAGTCTTTAGGTATCAAAATTGAACCTCAACAATAAATATAAAAAATCCAGAGAAATTATACTAAGTGATAAAAAAGACTTTGTTGTGTATAAGTCCCTCAGTTTCAGAGGAGAAGTTGTTTGGAAATTCACTTCTTCAGGTCCCAGCTCAAACTAGTGGAGGGATTCCCAGAGATCCAGTGTTGAGGAAGATACTTCCATAGAGCAGCTGCAGATGCATGGGCTGGGTTTTCTTGAGTCTGGTAAAGTAAGAAATCAAGTTTCATCATTTTCTGGGCAGATATTTTGAGTTTTTTAATAAGAAACGGAGTCTGTTGACAGAAATAAAACTCTTGGCTTTGATTTTTGCTCAACAGTTGCATGCTTTGCACGTGGAATCAGTAGCTTTTTGAGGTGCCTGAATTAAATAATTTTGTCAAACTTTAAGCAGCAGCTTGTACAGACCATAGTCTCAGAAGTCAAAAAAAGGTGATGAAATTACACCAAATGCTTGAGATACCACGTGAGCAGCTCCTGTGGTAGCTGCCTATTGCATGCAAAGTTTTTAAAAGGATATTTCAAAGGGGGAATTTGTATGAACCCTTCTTTGTAGAAAACATTTATCTAGAATTTAAACTAGACTTCATGCTCTGAAGTTGCTAATTTTAAATAAGTGTTGTTTAGGGAATTTTGAAGGCTTTCTTCCCAACGGCTTTGTTTTATTGATGGATTATTTGAGGAGTAGTGCTCCAGCTGGTTTCTGGCTTTTAGAAAGCAGCTTTCACCTTTATTTTAAGTTTTCAGCCATTGCATAGGGTTTTAAAAGTATGGAGCTTTGTTGTCTCGTTATTTGAGCAATGCCAGAAGAATGCTTGAAACCAAACTGTCATTTTGATTTGAGTGTAACTTGTATTTGCAGGTCATGCACCTCTGTGTCTTGTTCTTGGTGTGAGGATCTTACAGATCATTAAGGATGGTTGTACTTGCATTATTTACATGTTACTTCTGCTGTTTGGCCTGATGGCTGTTAACAGCCATTGACACTATGGAACCACTTTATAGTGAAACCTCTGATGAGGCCCTTCACCTGTACCTGCTCTGCTCTCTCTGCTCAGTAGATCACCTACATGGTAGGTGGGCTCTCCGTGACAGAGGAGCTGTGACTTGGCACCTGACACTTAACATTGCACAACATTGCTCTGGGAGCACCAAGCGAAATTTACTATTTCACTTCATTATCAAATCAATTTGCCCCTTGCAAATTCACTATAAAGTGGGTCTGCTATGACTCTGAGCTTCAGAGAAGCCCATGCTGATGACATTGCATAGATTATTGCATCCTAATCTTGCATGTCTTTTCTCAAAGCTTTCTTTAATTTTTAGTTTATATTTCCTTTCTTGCTGTAGTTTTTTTTCTCTTATTTTGTATTGTAGGATCGGGATATTCACTCCTTGAAGATGATGAGGATGTTTATGCACGCAGTAGATACAAAGGTGAATGCTTTGCTTATGTGCTAAGGAGGATCAACTGCTTGCTGACAGAAAGCTTCATTCTTTTTTCTTTTTGTGGATTATACAATCTTGGTGATCCAGCTCCATGTTTTTTCTCATGGATATTTAGATCAAGATTTAATTTCTGCTGTTTTTAACAATGGAAATTAGACCAATTATTGATCACAGCTCTTTCATGTACCTGAGTAAGTAACTTTTACATTGCCTTTGCTCCTGGGAGATCAGATTGTTGAATTATGAAAATCAGGAAGAGCTTCTCTTTCTTATCCATACATGCTAACACAACCATCAATGATAAGCTGAGTCAAAACCTGGGCTTACAGATGGTAATGTATAGAAGTACATGCAAGAGAACTTGATTTTCATTGCTTTTTTCTTTCCGTAAAATTGCTTGCATTTCAGATGTAAACCTGCTATCTGAAGTGCCAAGTGAAGGGTGTCTAACAAATGCATGTGTGCATTCCAAAACCAAATTATGTAGCTGGATGAGTGAATGGATGGGCATATTTAAAAAGCAAATTCAGATTTTCTTCCCTATTCTGGAAGACTTTGCCATTCAGCATGAGTGAGAAGTTTTTTGCTACTACCAGTAAATATTCCGTTTGCTTTGTCCATTTTCTAAAAAGTCTGCTTTTGTCTTAATATCACTCTTCTCTGCCAAAAGTCTTCCCTCAGAAGCCTAGACATTAAAGAAAGGTATCACTTCATGTAATTTAAGTGGTTACTGTGTATCTTTTTAGTAAATTAATCTATACACATACTAGAGTTGTCACCATTTTGATTACTTGAAAATACTGGTCATTGGTGTCTTGTACATTATTGATTCTCTGCAAAGAATCAATGGGCCATATGAGAGGTAAGTCATAAAATAATTCAGACATTTATGAATAGCCAAGGAGAAAGCACAGCTTTTATGGCTCTGTTGCTGTTTTCATAAATGTCTCATCTTCCTTCCAGTAAAATACTCAAGTATAAAATTTTGATTTCAAACACAAGTAATTCTCTAAATCTTTATTTAGGATAAGTCATTTTTCTTTGCCTTTTAACATGTAATCCTTTGCAGACACATAGAAAATGAACTCAGAGATCGTGAAGATAAATCAATGCCAGTTCATGCGAGGGCAGGCAAGTAGTTAAAATGTGGATTCTGTGCAATTCCTTTTGTATAGTGATCCAAAATGGATTATACTCATGTCAGCCAAAATGTCACCAGGGTAAGTGAAACAGAATGACTCGTTCACACAGATATTAAAAACTGCCCCAAGTTTGGAAGCACTACTGCCAAATGTTGAGGAACAGACAATGAATGTAAGAGTATAAAGCATTGGAACAGAAAAGGCTGATTCTTGATTAGCATACTTCTTTATGTTGGTTTTGGGGGGAAGGGGATGGAGAAAGACAGCAAGGAAAAACGGGCTGTGTAGCAGACTTCAGAGCTTCTCCTCAGATGTGCAGTCCAGCATTTTGGGTGTGGCCCATTTCTTAGTAAATAAAACTTACCAATAACAGGAACTGAATTGATTTTAGTAATTGATGTTCACATATAAAAGCAACATTATTTTTTTTTTCTTTGTACACATGTGCAAGGCAGCACACAGATTCATTCTCTTCGACATCTGCAAACAGAACATTGCAGTTTACTGGGAGGAGTGAAAATCAGTGTCCTACTAAACCCTCTTTTCTTCATCTGGATGTTTTCCCACTTGCTCAGCTTTCCAGAGAAACGTGGCCAAGATTTTCTGTGCCTACAGCATTTTTAAGGAGATTTTCCCCTCCTTCCTGGTGAACCATCAGCTCTGTTGGCTGGTGTAGCAGCAAGCAGCAGTACAGCTGGTCACTTTGTGTGCTGTTTGTGAAGGGCTGAGCTGAGGCTGGTTTTTAAATAGTACCAAGGGGCTGGGAGAGATGATGCTTTAGAAAGTGCTTTCCTTGCTGCTACTTGGCATCTCTGGTCATATTTCATGAGGAAAGGTTTCCTGAATACAGCAGTTCCTGTGTTCATCACAGCTCCAGTGCCGCTGCTCTGGTGATCCTCATTCCTAATATTTCTCAGATACTGTAATGATCAAGCAGTATCCATTGCTCTAAAGGCAACATTGGGGCTTCAACCATTTCTCTTTGCTGCCTGTTTTCCAGGGGTTTCAAACATGGAATTGAGTTTCTGGAATGTTTTACTACTAAGTGAAAATTCAGGCTATTGTGTTGCTGGGATATTGCGGGAGTTTTCAGTTGTTTTTTGTGCTGAGGTGCAAACTTTCTGTTAAACCAAAAAGCACTATATAGGTCTTGGTATCTAAAAACTCAAATTTCAGTTGGTTGAACAGAGTCTGATATAGATGCTGAAGTTTCAGAAAAGGTGTCTGGGAAACCTCTAGCTTTTATAATCCCCAAAGCCTTCAGGAACATGGCTGATCCTGCCCTCAGGCAGGGAACAGCTTGTGTAACCCCTTGAGGCCTCACACAAACCTAATATTCCACAAGTGCTCTATGTAGCTGCTTAGCCTTTGAAAACCAATATGTGCCTTCACTTAAACAAACTTTGATCTGAAACTTTGTTGTATTGTTTGATGTGCTTTTCAAGTTTCAAGCAGGGTTGGTTTTCCAGCAGTATCACTTGGTTTAGCTTACAATATTTGTAAATGGCTTGTAAACCCTGCCTCACCCACTTTCTTCTAATCACAATCAGTTCTAGAGTAAGCATTATAATGTTTTAAATCAAACAGATGTTCCTCCTAAGGTTTACAAGTTATCTGCATCCAAAAGCATGCTTGCTTTTGTTTTTCTTTCTGGCAGAATCATTTGGTCTGTTGTAAGATGCATTTTGCCCCTGTATAGGAGCTTGCTTGCTTTCTTTCTGTAAGCCACTGTAGCTGCAACAACATTACAGGAAAGGGTTTTACTTTTCCAGTGCTGTGTTTGTGCATTAAACTGCATTTTTTAGCTGTTAGCTACCTGTTTGTTTTTAATATACATCTATATATATATATGGGTAGCTGTTAAGTGTGTTTGTAAAACCACAGAAACTTGCAGAAAAACTGGCAATTTGCAGCACCTGAAACAGCTTCTTTGCCCTCTTTATTTTATTTTTATTAGCCTCTTGATCATGTTGCAAAGCATATTTTTCTTAACATCCATAGAAAGGAAGTCAGAAATGTGCATTTGGAGTTTATACATGTAAAATACCCAAGGCATGAATGTCTTGAACTGATTTGCTGAAGGATTACATAATTGGCTGGGGTGACAGCTCAGCCCAAATGAATTTTCATTCACCCAGTCCTCCTCTTGCAGACAGTGTTGTCTTAGGAACTTCAGGTTTAACCCCTTCTGCAGAAAAACTGAGGCTTAGTTCTTAGTTAAGGAGGTCTTACAAGCTTGGGTGTGTAAATAAACTGAAATTTAAGGTCAGGGCATGGGAAGAACAAGTGGGACAGAAAAGCTGGAGAGTTTGGGCATCTGACCACTGAAGCAGAGATTATGGGAAAGCTCAGGAGTAGGAGGATTTTTCCAGTAGGTGGATGAGACAGAGGCTGTGAATCCAAGATGTGTGGCTTCCCCCAGAAAGTGGTAGGAGGTAGTGCCTGAGACTGTACCAGCAGCCCTGGGGTAGCAGTTAAGGAGACAGAACTGGGTGTTGGCATCACTCATTTTTCCAGCAGTTGACTTCTGTTCCTGTGAGCTCACGCTCCTCATCTCTTGTCTCAGTTTTAATTTGATGCACAACAAACATGAAAAATGGGAGCTACTGTGATACAGTCCCTCAACAAAATGGCCCAAGCCAGTGGATGTGGGGATTTTTTAAATGGTGTTTTGGGACCTGTGGGATAGAGATTAGGGTGAAGGACGGGAAACAGTTCTAAAAAAATCAAACCCCCAAACCAAAACCCACTTTCCACCAAAGCACTTCGCATAATTGTAAGCTAAATAGCAGAGGATGTATTTGACATTCAGAAACAGACTTATAGGTGGGAAGAAACAGAGCTGGGATGATTGTGTGGCTGAGCCAAAAAGCTGAACTGTACTCTACTCTTAACCTGAGGGGTTCTGTTAGACTGGCCTGTTTGTTGCTCAGTGTGTTTGGTGACACTGGGAATAATTTTACCTACACATCTTTGTAAAGGGTTTTTACTTGTATTGGTGAAAGACAAAAATAAGCATATCACAGTACAACTGCTTCAGAAATGGACTAGTCTAGAGGAAATGCGCCCTTGCAAAAGAGCAAAGATTGATAATTAGTTTCTGATTGTAGTCTGCAGATGCTATTTGTGTTCACTTAGGACCAGCACTGCAAAATAGATATGTAAAGTGTAGTTTCCATTGGGAAAGTGTAGCTATGTCCTAGAGACATAGCACATTGAATATAAATATCCCATGTATGAGAAATGCTGTACTGATTGTTGTTTATTTATGTATGGAGCTGATCCAACTAGTGTAGGAAAATGTACCTAATAACTATGGGAATTGAGCTAGAAGTGAACATCTGCCAAACATGATCTAGAATTTTTTTTTTAATGTTGTTGTGACTTTGTAAGTGTGAAGGCTAAAATTCATGTGTTTTGTTTGTTTAGGGTTTCCATCATGCAAAATTCAAATGTTTTTTCATGCCCCTCCCTCATATCACACGTTGTCACACAGGATTTCAGGATTTGTCATCTTTCTCTTTTTGCTTTGCAATCCTTCCCTTCCTTCCTCCCTCTCTCCTCTCCCCTCCTAATACGTGCTTTTCAAATCTTGGATCTGAGAAAGGGGCAGGCTTAGTCACTGCTTGTGTAGGAAACTCCTATTGAGGAGCTGCCCGTTTTCTGTGTGCACCCTGTTGGTAAAGCTGCACAAAAGGATGTGAAACTTTGGCTAGGAAGGGAAGTCTCTATTTGATACTGTTCTCATCAGCACCACAGGGTGGTGGTAAATCCTCACAAGCTGGGGGTACCCATATCCTGAATATTTTACAGTGTAGCCCTGACCAGTTAATAAAGTTTCAGTTTGAGCAGGTTCAGTGTGACATATTGGCAATATGATTTATGTAAGTGGTATCTTCTAACTGTGGGAGAGCTTGAACCATCACTGAGTTTTGCAAGGCACAGATTACTATGGAAGCAGAACTTTTTTTGATGAGCACTAAGCTAAATGTGGAAAGCTGACAACTGCAGCTAGACCAAGATGTTCCTAATGCTAACTTCTCTTATCAAAGAGCAATTAGATGTGCCTGCTTGAAAACAAGAGGGGAAAATGGCCCAGTTGCCATCAAACTGCCCACATGGTGGTACACTTATCCCATGGACAAAGAGTGTAGTAAAACCCCATCTGCCCTCTCAACCCCTCCAATATAATGGCTACAATCTTTAATGTTTGTCATAAAAAAAAAAGAGCTTCCAGTCCTTAAAGGGCTGACCTCCTCATGGGTAAGTGCACCTCTGCAGTGTTCTTCACTTTAAAGATTGGTGGTTTTGGAAATGAGAGGGATTTTTTCTTTTTTTTCCTCTGTAACTGTGATTAAGCAAAGTGATTTTATATGTGTCTGAACTTCTACATTTTTCTAATTGCTGTGTGTGGGGTTTTTTTCTTCTCTGTGCCAGAAACACCGTGGTGCTCCCCCATTAAAGTGAAACATGGTTATGCAAACTGCAGGACACCTCAAGGGGAATATTACAAGAATGTGCTGGGCACAAGATGTGATATTCGCTGTCAGAAAGGCTACGAACTGCATGGCCCTCACCAGCTCATTTGTCAGTCAAGCAAACGCTGGTCTGGGAAGGTGCTGTGCAAACGTAAGTGGTTGCAAAATCTGTGTGTGTGTGTGTGACTTGTGCTCCAGGTTCAGACAATAAATTCTCAGTTACCATTGAAACTGATCTTTGGATTGTTTTTTGGTTTTTTATTTTAAAGGTTGGCAGTATGTTTGGAGATGTAGATTAGTTTGTTGTTGAGGATCTCACAGGGGTACGTGACATGATAGGCATCTCAGTGGTACAAAAACTCTTGGCAGATAGGGAGTATTTTATCAATGTGAGATTTTGATTTGTGGGATTAGTTTTATGACAGAACCATGAAGCTGTTTTAAAATATTGCCCATCTTAGACTTTCTAAGTTGACACAATTTGTACCAGTGTCTAAATGGGCTCTTACAGCAAAACATTTTCTGAGAAAAGAGGAATTGGTACTTGTCATCCCTTTTCTCATAAATATTGTATCAGGCCACTAATGCTTATGTAGTGTTATGTAGTGTACTCTGCTGTCTTGCAGAGTAAAATAAGCAAGTACCGTAAGCAGCAAAGAAAAGAGGCTAAGTTAGCACTAAAACTTTTTTATTCCAAAAATGCAAAGTAGTTGTTCCATAGGGTTTCAAGTCCCAGTTGTTGCCTAGGATTACAAGTCCCAGTAAAAGTAATACTAAGATTTAAGTTGTGGTAATACTGCATAGTTTGGAAAGGTCCCTTGAAATCTTGTGTGCACACAGTTCCTATATGCAAATAGTGAGATCTGCTGTTAGCAGACTGTTTAATAAGGTTGTATTTTGAAATGCAGCTAATGAGAACAATGTAGAAAATCCTCACATGGAACAAGACTTTCTCCCACTTGTAGTTTGCCAGCCATGTCTTTATTTCTCTGTAGTACCCTACATGCGCATTACTTTAGAGGGAGGGTATGAAGTTCCCATAAGTCCTTGTTTCCTTTTCCAGAAAAGCGTTGCCCTACCCTGTCCATGCCAACCAACGGGGGCTTCAAGTGTTTGGATGGTGCCTACTTTGGCTCGAGGTGTGAGTACTACTGCTCCCCAGGGTACCAGCTGAAGGGGGACCGCATCGTCACCTGCATGGATAACAAAGTCTGGAGCGGCCGGCCAGCCGCCTGTGTCGGTGAGTGGGTGTTTGGTCTGCATCCTGAGGTATCTGCCAGTGCCTAAGTCCTGCACACATAAATTCCAAAAGGCCTTTTTATCCAGTTCATGGGGAGAAAAAGCGACTGTCCCTCTTAAGGAAGCAGAGAACAGTTTTCCAAGGGTGCGAGGTTCTGTCACTCAGTGCTTTCAGTCCAGAGTGAGTATCCAAGCATTACCTCTTTAATAGAGATGAGCCTGGTGTAAATGGCCAGCACTTTACAATGCTTGTAATGGCCTTTGGCGATTCCTGAGTGACTCCTGGGTAGCCTGTGATTACTGTGCTGCTCTTCCAGCATGTTCTCTATGCTGGAGTCGGTCACTCTCTCTTCTGTTTAATGAGTAAAAACAGGTTTGAAAGTAAGCCTGTTGTCTGAACTGTTTTTCTTCCTTGGGATCATGGTCCTTAAATATATCCAGAGAATTATATCCAGGATTGTAGTTACCAGCATGGTTGCAGTGAGCTAATTTAAATTTCAGCCTAGTTCACTCTAGTTATGCCAACGATTTTCATTACATAGTCAGTGGTCTCCTGGGAACCTTGGCTGGAAGAAGTATTCCTATATATGTAAATCTGAAGAGAGAGGAACAAATATTGAGATTTAACTTTCCTGACTACTAATGTAATTTCAGCACATAGCAAAGTCTCAGCCTGCTGCCCTTGTTTCTGGGAAGCCTCTGATAAAAGCTTCGGCAGCCACCCACAAAAGAAAATATTTTTTGGCCATCTGAAATGGCTACTAGTAATTTAAGGCATGTGGGTGGTAGAGTGTTTGCTCTTAGTGTCTTAGTATGATAACTTGGTTTTCCTCAGAATGCCTGTGTCTCAGTCTTGGTTTGGAGCCTCCCCACGGTGGCCTGATGTTCATAAAATATTTTTCAGGTTTCCTGTTATTTGGTGTTGTACAAATGTAGAAATGAGCTGCTTAGGTCTAGACTGTTTGTGGTGTCTCTTTGTTTGCAAAAACAAGTTTTGTCCTTCTCAGTGGTGTGGGCAGAGGAAGAAAAACATTTTAAGTTTGGAAATGATAAAATATTGTCCTCTGTATTTCCTGGCACTTTCAGAAGCTCATCTGTTTGCAGAGATGGTGTGCTTGTTACAAAGGATGCTGTATTGCAAAGTAAGCAAGTACCTTAAGCAGCAAAGAAAAGAGGCTGTTAGCACTAACACTTCCCTTTTATTCCAAAAATGCAGAGTAGTTGTAGTTGTTGTAGGGTTTCAAGTCGTTGCCTAGGATTACAAGTCCCAAGTAACTCAGTAAAAGTAATATTAAAATTTGAGTTGTGGTAATAATGCATAGTTTGGAAAGGTTCCTTCAAATCTTGTGTGCACAGAGTTCCTATATACAAATAGTGAAATCTGCTGTTTGCATTAATAAGGTTGTATTTTGACCTCTTGATAGGCAGGACAGAGATTTTTTTTTGTGACCAGATATCACAGGCATAATTCTAACAGTATAATGAGGTTTGAAAATGAACACTTGTTCCTTAGTGTAATTCAGAAGTTACAGAAGTGTAGCCTGTGCAGTGGCCAGGAGAGGACTGGCTGAACAACCCACTTGCAGCTGAGGAGTGAAATTGAGGGGAGCAGTGAGATACAAAGGCAAAAAGGCTTCTTGAATTCTTAACTTTGATATACAAACAATTGCACTGTGTACAGTAGGGATGCTACTTGTGATCAGAGGCATGGGCTGGTAAACTACATGTCATGGAACTATCCTGGGGATTCCACAGTTTTTGGCATTGAGTATGGCTAAAATTACCATCAGAGCTGAACTTAAAGTGCTCTTGAAAACAAGGGGCTTTCCTCTACCCTTTTATACTGCAGTTGCACTGCGTAGCATTTTTGCACTAAATTATGTGGGCTTCGCAGAGCAGCAGTGAAGATCCATGTAGGAAAGGCTATCAGTAGTCAAACATGTATTCATTTAAAGGAGGGAAAAAAAGATACATGTATATTTTAATTAGATATGTTCTACAAGTGACTTACAGAAGTCCTTATAGTCAGTGAGTATTCTGTCATAACAAAGCAGACTGTCTCCTGTCCCCACCCTGTAAGAGGAGGGATACCCCTCATGTTGCTGAAATAATTTTGATTAAAAGAAAAACCAATGTACAGCTGGTTTTGGTTATCAGTTAGCTAAAATGCCAATACTCACTTGAATAATATTTCCATTATATCTTTAATGCACTGTAACATGTATTGAAATAGATACTTTCCTCTAGAAGATTAAGAAATGTCGCTGTCTTTTCTTCTGGAAAGATTGCCTTTTCCTGCTGACTGTATAACAGAGGTTGTTTTAAATGGCTGTTACCAAACTAAATCATCCTTTTGTCACATCCAGAGGCTGTATTGATAGGATGCTTGTCCTAGTAGTGCTGGCTACTGATGTAAGACATTATTGTAGGAGTTACTAGGAAAAAATCAAATGCAGCATTGATTCGCCACAAAATGGTAATTACCAGTCTTCTGTTTCTCATTTTGCCATTACTGCAGGAAAAATAATCAGCATGTTAAGAGTAACATGCAAAGTTACCGTGCAGAGACAGATTGATGTTCAGTGTGCTTTAAAAATGGTCTTAATCACTTTAACTACTGCACAGATGGACAAAGAAAAGAATGCAGATAAACAGAGCATCCAGGCTCCTTGGCTGTGATCTTGGACATCCCTCCTTGGACTTCAAAGCCATTCATTTGTCAACTTTACTTTTTAACTGAACTATGTACAGAAATTTACAGTAACTACTTTTAGTTGGGCTTTCTGCACTGCAAAGGGCTGATCATTGTCGGCTCTTCTTAAAAAAATGTGAGAAGTAGAGGCTCTGTGTAACTTGGTTGGGATGAATCCAGGGCTGAGGAGGCCAGCTGCAGGTGGACCCTGACACCAGGGAAGAAGCTCTGAAGAAAATGCACAGCTCTAGCAGATGCTCCAGTGCCCTTTTCTGTGACATTCATTTCAACAGATACTGAACCTCCGAGGATCCAGTGCCCGAGCGTGAAGGAGAAAACCGCAGAGCCCAACAAGTTGACAGCCAGAGTGTTCTGGGACACCCCGGAGGGGCGAGACACTGCTGACGGGATTCTGACAGAGTAGGTGAAAATCTCTATGTGTTTGCATCCTCTCCTTCTTACTCCTTTGTTAGCAATTCAGCAGGCCAGGTACCCTTTTCCCTTCATTCATCCAAGATGCTTTTTTATAGCTGTCACATACCGCTGCTCTATGAGTTGCATGTTTCACTGGAAAAGCTGGCAATTTGGAGGTGAGTTGTTCAGGAGCTGGTTACCCAGTTGTGGTTATTTAGAGCTGGTGGAATAAACCACAGCAGCATTTTGACTGCACCTGTGAAGTTTTCCAGAGCTTCTTTGCGAGTCTCATAATTAACAAGTTTTCTTACACCAAGTTACCTTTTGTACATAACAATGAAAACAGAGTAGTGCATTGGAGGTAACAGAAGAGGTAAATTTGACTGACTTAAAAAAAAAACCAAGGTGTGTCACAAAATAATGTCTGCAACCATCTTTAGGTTTCTTCATAAAATAGTGCTGGCCACTGATGTCCCAGGATTCTGCAGTTACCCTTAAACTAACAGTTCTTGTTTGTAGCCTTGATGGATTTAAACACTGTATCTAGACATAACACTTCAAAATTTCTTTGTCAGTTTCTATGGTTTCATAGTCCCATTTTCCAGAAGAACAGGGTGTAATTCTGGTGGTACTACTGTCTCTGATTTTCCCATTTTTATCATGTGGGATTTAGGTCAATCTGTCTGGATTATTGTAATGGTGGGAGCATGGAAAATCAGTTTCTATCAGTAAGCAAGTTACATCATTACATTAGTGGACCAGTTAAGCTTAGAAGCTCAAAGTTGTTAAGCTTGAAGATGTTTACAGTTTCATGTGAGTACAAAAAAACTAATGAAAGACAATGGTATTGCCCTTTTATTGCTGTAATTTAATCATTTCATAAAGAATTCATTACATAATTAAAAGCTTAATTGCCATTAAGGTTCTGATGTAACAATTTGGTTACAATTAATAACATCAAAATTTATACATGGTAAAGTAAAAACTTGAAAATGTCAGGATGAAGAAATTCTGAAGTCTTTTTGGCAAAGGAAGGTCTGATGATAGGCAAAAAAATGGGGAATATGCCATGCAGACTTTGTCATATGAGTAACTTTTGTCCGCTCAAAAGAGCCAAGCTCTTGATTCAGTGAAAGCTTTTCCATAAGTCACATCTCTATAAAATATTGCTTAACTGTGCTGTTTATATTATAGAGTCTGCAGTGCTTTTCTTAAATGCACAGTCCTTCAGTTTCAGGAGTACAAAAGATTTTCCATTACATGGAAACCTGTTTGGTTGCATACTCTCTGCTTCTATACTGAGATTGTTTTATTCATCTGAATTCTCCCACCTTGTTTGCAGGGCAGAGGCAAATTCCAGGTGAAAATGCTGTTGCAGATCACCATACCCTAATGCTGTGACACTGAATCTCACTTTCTGTTCCATTTCTGTACATATTAACAGTCACAAATGCCAATCATAGGAGCAGTTCAGAGCAGACAGATGGGAATACATCCCCACTGTAAGAGGCTGGAAGTTTTCTTTTTTAATGTTGACTTCTTATGAAAGGAGAAGGAAGTTTGAGTTCCTCTGAGCATGATGGGCTTGGCTACTCCATGCATTGTTTTATAGGAAGGGGGCAGACCCTGCCCATTCTAACCCCCTTGTCACAGCAGGGTGGGCTGTAGGTAGCAAATTTAAATACTCTGGTTGCTGGTGCCCAGCTTCTTCCTTCTCAAGTCTTCTGTTCTGCAGGCAGCAAGACAGTCCTAGCATTGCACAAATATCCCTCTGCAGGCTTTTACAGCATTGTGAGTGAATAAATACTGGTGAATTTATGAATGTCTGCCCTGTTTTATCTCTTGGTTTAGTGTTATTTTGAAAGGCCTGCCACCAGGGTCACATTTTCCAGAAGGCGACCACAAAATCCACTATACTGTGTACGACAGAGCTGAAAACAAAGGCACCTGCAAATTTCTTGTTAAAGTCAGAGGTAAGGATGATGTTTTACCCTGTAAATACAGACACTGATTTGCACCTGGCTTAGTAGCCAATTTGAAAATGTCCTCATTTCTGTATTTATGTGCATATGTCTCTGTATATAAACACCTATGATGATGCTGAAAGAGAGAACAGAGTCTTGCTGAAGACCCTGGGGGCCAGGTCTGCAGCATTCCTGCACATTCAGGAAGAGCTGCTTTGATCAGCCCTGCCTCCAGCTGCACACCCCTTCTGCCAGCTTCTCCATGATGCATAGCCTGTGAGCTGCTGAAATGAGAAGGTGAAGGCATTTTTTTCAGCTGAGGCTCATGTATCAAGCAGGGCTGCCCTTTCACAGGTTAACCTCTGGAGCTGAATATACAGAAGTGACCCATAATTTTCAGCTTCAGCCCTTTGTGCTCCATGACCTTTTGTTACATGTATACACCTACACAGGTTTCATTTTATGTAAAAGTGAGGGGTGGGGGAGTTCAGGTTGATTGTTTGGGGGTTTTAAGTGCATGACTAATAAAACAGAAAGCAAACAGAAAAATGTCTTCAATACTGGTATTCCACTGACCTGTGCTACCTTAGTAACAAATGGTGATTCCTGCTGTGTCTTTCATTTTGTTGTTTTTTTTCTCTTGCTCAAAGTCAGGCGCTGTGTGAAGTTAAATGCCCCAGATAATGGCTACATCAAATGCTCAGGTGATGGAAATAACTATGGTGCTACCTGTGAGTTCTCCTGCATTGGTGGCTATGAGCTGCAAGGAAGCCCAGCCCGAGTCTGCCAATACAATTTGGGGTGGTCAGGAGTGGAGCCAACCTGTGCACGTAAGTGAGTATTTCACCACTCCACCAGGAGGAATCCAGCACAATGGTTCTTAGGGCAGTGAGAATTTGGGAAGGGGGTGTGTAGTGGAATACAGCTGCAGTGTCCCAGAGGTAGGAGACTTAACATCATCTTTGTCTCCCTTCCCAGTCTGCACTTAATGGCTAAAGCCTTTGCCACCTTTGACTGCTCTTTCCTAGAGTTTTTTTAGTTCAAAGCTTTCTACAAAATGTCACATTCTGGAGTCGTTCCATTGTGCAAGCTGGAACAGTCTGCAGTAAAATTGTTGGCTTCAATGAGGCCAGAATTTCACCCAGATCTTCATTATTATTATTTCTTGTTCTTGTGTTTCTACTGTCTAACTCTGCCTCTAGAAATGGATCTGTTTTCAGTATGCTTCAGAACTTTTGTTTTAATTTTATTCCAGCTATGAATATTAATGTGAATGTTAGGACTGCAGCTGCACTTCTGGATCAATTTTATGAGAAGCGGAGACTGCTAATTATTTCAACTCCTACTGCAGCTACCTTCTTCTACAGGATGCAGCTGGGGATGCTGCAGGTAAAACACATTTGAAGGGGATGTGCAACTATTTTTTTTCTTTAAAGACCCAAGAAGACAAGCTCCACTGTTTAAAATAAATCCACAAACTTCAGCTGCTATATTGTAGCCACTGTAAGATCTGGCTCAAGCAGTCATAGTTCCAGATTAATCCTTTTCACAGGGGTTTGAGTTGAGATATCCCCCAGTCACTAACTCAGCTCCATTCTGGATTGTGCTGCCTCTGACCAGTCACTGAATCCCAGGCAGTTCTGGCCCTTCCATCCTCCCCAAATTTATTTAACTCATGCTCAATAATAATTCCCTTTCTCAGCTGCTAAAGAAGTTTAAAAAAAACCCAAACCCAACCCTCCAGCTCTTTAGCAGCTCATGCAGACCAGGCTTACAGAATTTGCAACTACAGTGCAAGGGAGTAAAAAGTGCACCAGCAAACAAAGGATCAGAGACACAGCACAGAAATCATCCATAGTGTTTGAGATGACACTAGGGTGTTTTGTTCCAAAAAACCCAAAACACCTGGTACTTTTCCTTATGTGTTGTAAGTGTGATGCCCTTGTTGGCTTTTTGCTAGACTTATGGATAGATCTCCAAAATATATGTGTGTCCTCAGGGAAGGGAAGGAAAGTAATTAGTCCTGTATTCTTTCGCAGCTACAAGCTATCTCAGTTTTTTTGTCTCACCAGTTGTAACAAAATTCAGTATAAATAGTTACTGAGATATGAATGTGATGATGTTTTTAACTGCTGGCTTATGTTACGGTAGTATGTAAGGAAAAAAACAAGAAGAAAGAAGAAAAAGAAGAAGCTCCTTTTCCCTATTAGATAAACTTGGCAAGAAAATTCAGTATATTGATCAAACTGAATTTAATGGCTATAGTACATTTTCCGCTTCTTGACAGTAAGCAAATGAGTTGGCATGGAAGAAAACTTTCTGCTGTCAACTTCTGTTTCATATAATTTGCTTTGATTACCAAATTAGATTATTGGTACAATGCTTTAGACCCTGGCATCTTTTCTTATAACTAGGGAAAAGCTGATTTTTTTCCTAGGTGGTCCCTGTGTGTTGGTTTTCTTAGAGTGTTTGAGAATCTGTTACTTAACCTCCCCTACAGTCATAAAGCTTTAGTTCTCTGCCACGAGAATTTAAATGTTTGCAAAGTATGCTCTCAAATCAGTTGAAAACATGTAAATAACTTCAGAAGAGGGGACTCTGTGAACACTTGCTTCACACTCAAAACATCCCCCTGTTCTCTCAGGGATAACCAACACCCCTCTTTCTCCTCTTAACCCTTGCAGCCGGCACAGTGTGGGTTAGACCTGCGACACGTCACCGTGGTGGAGTTGGTTGGTGTCTTCCCAGCACTGATAGGAAGAATAGGAGTGAAGCTGCTGCCCCCATCACTTGCCCTGCAGCTCAGGTAAAGGAAGCTCTCACTGCTGTTGTGTTTGCACCTTATCCTACAAGCTGCATTGTTGTGATCCCTGCATCTTACTCTCCAAATACACGTATTCTACTGGAATGTACACAGCTAGACACTGGAAAGTAGATATTGGTGAGCACACTTGAGGATTTATTTACTCTCTGTGTAATAGCTACAGCAAATTAAAACACAACAGCAAATTTATTTAATTATATATTTAATATGACTCTGTTCATAAACGTATAAGTTTGTATTTTTGGGTGCTGCCACTGAAAACACTTCAGTGTTTTTACTGTCTGTATTCGTATTGGAGTTGCTTTGCAAGGACAGCCCCAAATGGCAGAGACAGCCCATCCTCTGCACCAGTGCTCTTGGTGGTTGTGGCCAGGCCTAAAGGGGAGGCAGTGAAAGGGGAAGCTCTTTGAAGTCCCACATGTTGGAGTGGGATGGGCAGTATTTCAAAGTGGAAATTATCTCAGCTTCACCAGCCTGACTGCAGCATCAGCAGTTTTGCTGAGGTGCCTAAACTGTTTTGACTTGGGTTTAGACTGGCAGAGGATTGGTTTTCACTTGAAAAGGAGACTTCAAATGCCAGCATTTCCTAAGGACTGGAACTGAAAAAAAGCCAAAAGGGATGGCCTCATGGGCAGGAAAATAAAGAGCTGTTTAGAAAAAAGTCAAGGAGCATTTTAGGCAACATAATCTTTGATATGCATGAGGAAAAGGAGTAAGTTTTAATTGGAGACAATGAAAATTGCTGACATAGCAGAGAGGGGATTTTTTTTAAAATTATTAAAAAAACCCTGTTCTCAATAAAAGAAAAAGGAAAGAAAAAAAAAACCACTTCCTTTTTTGAATAAAGATACTTTTACTAAAGTTGAAATTATTTTCTTGTGGCTCTGTAGAAAATAATAAGCTCTCTTAACACCTCATTCCCTGATGTCCTGCAACCTTTAATGAGGCTGCATTTCAGAAATTGGTATGCCCTGCCCTGCGCTCAGTGAAAGTTAGTTTTCCATTGATTCTTTTCTTTGTTGCTGCTTAGTGTGTGAATTATAGTTCTCCAGTTCTGCAAGGTGCTCAAATCAATATGAAATGCACTCTTAAGAATAAAGGTGTTCAGAATTGACATTTCAGTAAGCTAATGAGCACAGGTACCCCAGTTAAAACTTCAGAAAGCACAGAAGATTAACATTTGGATTTTTAGGAGCATTTTTTCTTAGATGATATATGGCACAAGGTGAATGTGGTTTTCTATCACCATTGCTTAGCTTTAATCTTTATTTTAGTTTTAATGGCCAAGCTTCCTAATGGCAACAAGACTATGCTTAGAGCACTCAGACTTGTTAGGAGGCTGAGGAAGGCCAATTTTGGTGCTTCACACCTTTCCAAAATGCCCCAGACTCTTCTTCATGGCAGCTTTCTCTCATTCTCTCATGGCTGCCCGAATTTATTTACCCCACACTAATAATGTTGACTGAATTCATATCTAAGGATCTTCTAATACATTACTCCTTCAAGCAAAAGATGAAAAGAGGACTACAGATAAACTTTTGTTACTTACTCAGCTTTTGCTACTTGAGGAGTTCAAATGACCACTTCCTCCACTTCGGAAGAAGGACTACTCTGTGATTAGCAGTGGCTTTTGTTCCTCTACAATTTGAGTCACAGATGATTATTACTTTTAGGTAACAGTGAAAGCAGACTCCAAGAATTTTGTCCTGCTTTTTCTTACTGTGATTTTTATACCATGGAAAGCCAAGAAATGGAAGCCAAGAAAGGGAATAGTCTTCCTTGTAACTCAGGCTTCATCACAAGGGTTTTCTTTAGGTAATGTTCACACTACCTTTTTTGTCTAACCTGGTTTCACTCTTGTGACAGCAGTGGGTAATGGCAGAGAACAGAGCTGGGTGCAGTCACCTTGACACTCCCCTTATGTGAAGGCAGGAGCTGCAGCACAGGCAGGCACCTCCTCTTTATCTGGCTCATTGTTAATGCTTAAACCATCTGGACTCTGTGTAGCCCCTGTGAGCATCCCCACCTTCCTCTGCTCAGACTCAAGAGGCTGGTGCTGCCCTTCAACAAAATCAGTTCCTTACTTTGCAGGCTGCTGCTGAGGATCCCCCACTACAATTTCAACATCGTGGTGATGGACAAGCACGGCATGGACAAGGAACGCTACCCTTTCCCAGCAACACCTGCTGAGCTCTTTGCCCTTATTGACAAATTCCCCTTGAGAAAAGATGAGATGAAACTGCAAGCAGAAATTGGTCAGTCATGTCCCTAATTCAGCATTCCAGGGCCTGCAGTTGTTGGTGAATTTTTTTTTAATCGACATAATTCTCCCCTTGGTGCTAAACAAAACATGGCGTTCTTAATCACTGATGTGAATGTTTGTGTGTATTAGTAAATCTGTCCAGCCATGTAGCTGCTCTGCATAGAAGGGTGCACAATGCTCTTTTGTGCTTTCAGTCTTCTTTAAATCATGGAGTGGCCTGGGTTGAAAGTGACTTTAAATATCGAGTTCCAACCCTGCTGCTATGGACAGGGACATCTTGCACTATCCCAGGTTGCTCAGAGCCCCATCCAGCCTGGCCTTGAACACTGCCAGGGATGGGGCATCCACAGCTTCTCTGGGAAACCTGTGCCAGGGCCTCACCACCTGCACAGTGAAGAGTTTTTCCCTAATATCTAATCTGAACCTGTTCTCTTTACAAGTTGAAGCCATTACCTCTTGTCTATCACTCCAGACTCTTGTTAAAAATCCCTCTCCATCTTTCCTGTAGGCTCTGTTCAGGGACTGGAAGGCCAAAATTAGGTCATCCCTAAGCCTTCTCTTTTCCAGGCTGAACAGTCCCCATTCTCTCAGCCTTTCCTCGCAGGAGAGGTGCTCTATCCCTCTGATCACCTCGGTGGCCTTCTCTGGACTTGCTCTGACAGGTTGATGTCCTTTCTCCTTCTGGGGACCCCACAGCTGGATGAATGTGAATGTAGGATTTACTACCTAATGGAATTTCTTGTACAGAGAGTGAAGAACTGTGGCATGTTTCTGGGAGTTTATTTTGGATGTTTCATTCAGTGTAAAATTGGGGTTTCTTTCTTACTGTTTATAATTCTTTTTATTAATAAAATATTGTTTTGTGTAAAAATATTTTATATATTAGTAAAGGTCTATCTGCACAAACTAGTCTTTGAAATAAGTCGTGATATTAAAGGCTAAAGTCCTTGAAACCTTCCTGCAGAAGAGAGAGTAAAGCAAAACAATATCCTTGTGTATAAGAGAAAGAATGTAAACCTGTGTGCATTAGCCAATAGTCGCTTGCTTAGCCTGCGGACCCTGTAGAACCCTATATAAGTGTGCTAAAGATAGAAATAAACGGCGTTCACTGATACTTCTGTGAAGGGTGGTGAATAGCTGGCGGTCTCTCAATATTTGGCACTTTGAGCGGGACACCCTGCTGGCAGGGGGGCTTCGGTGGGTCCACGCACGGTGGGACGTAGCCTTGGCCCGAGGTTGGTGGAGCGGATCTGAGCGCGGATAGACGCTGCCTTGGATCGGTACCGGATAGGCAGCCCGCGGAAAAAGGTGGGTGAGTCGCTGGGGGAGTCCGAAGGCGGAGGAGTAAGAGAGGGGTCGCTACCCTCCCCCAACCATGGACACAGGGAAAATGGATGTGGAGTCTGCGGCAGCTAAAAAACTGCTTCTTTCTATTCTCGTTAAACGAGGTGAAGCAGCCCGGGAAAAGGACCTGGATATGCTCATTATATGGACTAATAATCACAGGCATTTAGCAGTGCCCTCACTGCTCTTTACAGTAGAGGTATGGACGGATTTAAGGGCTCTGATCTGGGAAACGGCAATCACGGAAATAATAATTAGTTAAGAGAACTTTACTGTAGAAGACAAAGTTAAGTTAGAGCATATATTAGCTATTTGCTTGTTTTCTCCACAATTTTAATAAGGTAATTCCAATGCGAGTCCTTTTATTATATAAAACATATAACTGCGTATATACCAAATTGGATTTTAGTTTAAGAATTGGACTTGATGTTTCTGAAAAGTGCTACAAAAGCTGAATGGCAGCTTGCCAAATCCTGTGTTGTGTTTTTGCTCTAGAAAAACTGCACTTTAAAATCCTAACGAATTTAAGCATATACTAGGCAAATTTGTATTATGAGTAAGTATTTTTAGTAACACTTGCAGTTATTTTGAGTTATTCCCAAAGCTAGATGACATAAAATTGTGATGTATTTGTTACATTTTTATAATCTTTATAGTGAATCCATATTACTGTTATATTGTGTTTAAAAGGTATATAGCAAACTTTTAGTTGCCTTTTTGTAGTAACAGAATAAGATTAAGTTATGTTTTTATTTAATATAGATTAAATGTTAATAGAATTAAGAATAGTCAAGATTTATTATGTTTAGACTTGAATGTTTTTAAGTTAAGTTTTATAACTTAGATATTCTTTTAAGGTTAAGTTTTGTTATTTCCTTTTGTTATAATTAATTTTTATTAGGTTTAAATATTGTTTAATTTAAATTGTTTTATGTTTTATTGGAGACACTTGTCCAAACTGCAAAGTATAGTTATTTTCCTAGAGAAATGAAGATAGCTACTACTGAAACAGCTGTGACAGAACGCTGATGAACATCTGCTTGTGGATAGAAGTGAATGCAGTCTGTGACACCCTTGACTTCATCGGGAGTTCTATTGAGTTGTTGCAATCTCTGCAGTTTTTGTTTGTTATAGCTTTCTTATTTTTCAGTGTTTCCAGAATTTTAGGAAGATGTACCATTGCTGAGGATCAGCTGCCATGGGAGAGGCTTCAGATTAAACCAACTGCTGCATGGTTTAATTGGTCCAGTACCTAAGGCTTCTGATCATTTGCTTTGTACAAATGCATTTTAACAGTTTGCTCTGCTGTAAGCATCTCATAGCTGCTACTATTGAGAACCTTGTTTTAGAAATGAGTTAAGAGGCATCTTTCCAGTTTAAAGCTTAGGCCCTGGCCAAGCCTTGACTTTACCTGGATGAAATGTTTGCCAACAGATCCAGATGTTTTCTGTACCAAATCAGTATTTGAGTCACTTTTTGACTCAGCAATTTGACCCTATTAATATGACAGCTGGATCAATTTTGAAGTGAGCTTGGAGAATCATTCCCGGAGGTGGTTATCAATCCTTCACTGATTTTTTTTGGTTGTTGTTTCTGTTTGTTAGCAGACTATGGGATGCTGGTGCAGTGTTTTAGTAATTAATAGTAGTTTTATATTACATATGTTATTAATAATGCTTATAATTTGATTGATTTTTAATTGCCATAGATTCTTATTCATTGTGTATATGGTTTTGTGTTAATGTTGATGTGTATGACAGAAGTACATCTCATTTTTATTTTTTTAAAAAAACGGGGGAAATTGATGCCCTAAAAGCATTTAATTAGTGTAATTCATTAACTTCAAGGGGAGAAGTGTCTGTGTTTTGTTGGCAGGTTCAAAAAGGTCACCTGTCCATCTGACCAGACTGTCTGCCTCTGAACACACGAGATCCAGTGAACAGAGATGTCATCACACAGCCTTGGTACTCCAGACATGGATCAGAAGTGGACCTGTCAGGACACAGTTGTGTCTGAACACTGCACAGACAGTTGCCAACAGAAATTTTATGTTGTTATTATGATGTTGTGTCTCTACCAATTTTTTCAATTATCTTCTGTTTTAGGATTTAGGAGGATGTGAAGAACAACCTGAACATCGAAGCCCTCAGTCACTGATCAGCTGCCAGCTGACATCACGGGAGCAGTGAACGTTCCAAGACTGAATTGTGTTAAATCAGTCTGTTTGTGAGAGAAATTCTGTAGAAGATCTAAGAAAAGTGTAGAGACTCCATCTAATTGTATATAAAGCAAATTGTAGTTGAGTGTTTACCCTTTCAGCAAATTGCTTTCAACAATTATTCTACATATATACCAGAGCACGTGTGTTAAAAGTAGTTAGATAATAGTTTAAGATAAAGAGTTTAGCCTGTGTAGTAATTGTTATGTTAGTATAAAGTATAAGTATTCCCCCTTCAAGAGCTAGTGTAAATACCTTTGAAAGTTCATTTAACATGAATGCCTTAATTGTGAGTCTACAGGCATAGTGTCATTTGCATGGAACAAACTGTCTGTAGTAATTGTGCTGTGTATAGTCCTGACCAACTGTCTGCTAACTAACATCCAAAAGCAACAGAACATATGGGTCACTCTGGCACATTTGATAGGCCAAAAGTCAATGTGTTTGAGCCTAGCCACACCTGGAGATCCTTTTTGCACCTGTCTCATAGGAGTCCCTGAATGGGATCCTCCAGCATTTAAAGGATTAGTTAGTAACAAGACTCGACTGAATTGATTGGCAATGTTGCAAGAGTGCAATCGCACTGTTGGCTTCACATTAAGACAACTTGAAGCCTGTTGGCAAGGGAAAATTATCGAAGTTCTCAATGTTACCATAGAGCCCCCAGAAGAATTAAATTTGTTAGGTTCCACCAATACCTCAGGTGGATGAATAATGTCTGAACCCCCAACAAAAGCCATTCCAACAAAGTAATGCAGCACTGGGCTGCAGTCAACCCTATAGCTGATCTTGTTACTACCATGGAAAGTAAAGCCTTTATTCGCGGTGCAGTCTCACAGGACAATTACCAAAGCGATTACCTAGTTCCATATTTCTAATCTGTGGAGACAGAGCATGGAATGAGATTCCTGCTAGTCCACATAGAAGACCCTGCTATCTTGGGAAACTTACTTTGTTTCCATCCAAGCTTACACCAAGTGCTGAATGTAGCTGATAAAATAAAAAACATCAAACAGTCAAAGTGAAGCCTGAATGAATTAAAGCTTAGCAACTCTAAAAAGTCTCGCTTGTTAGACTAACAAAGAATTGAACTTAACATCCACAATGTTAAGTGAACTTTCAGCCGATGTGAGTAGTGTACGTCATGCAGTATTACAAAATTGAGCTGCAATTGACTTTTTGCTCTTAGCACAAGGACATGGTTGTGAGGAGTTTGAAGGCATGTGCTGCTTGAATCTTACTGATCATTCAGTCTCCATCCATAAGCAACTACAACAGCTGCAGGATGGGTTACATGCCCTGAGAGAAGATAATGACCCCATTGGAAGTTGGTTCACCAGCTGGGGCATCACTGGATGGTTGAGGTCTCTTGTGCTAGAAGGGGGACGGACTTTACTTACAGTGTTAATTGGGATGACAGCTTTAAGTTGTATGTTATCTTCTCTTCATAAAAGTATAGAATG